ATGAATGGGTCCACTTAGAGCCTGCAGTAGAGAATAATGGAACCAACCATTTACATTAAGGCAAATTATTTTTTCTACATTGAATCCTTTAACTACTCTTTTGAAAGTATTAACTTTTCAGGCTGATCTATTCTCTCAAAGTCCAAAGTTTTGTTGTTCTGGGTTTGTTTTTTGCTTGCTTGGTTTGTTGGTGTGTATATATAGTACTGGGGATTGAATCTAGTGGCACTCCTAATACTGAGCTACATTGCTAGCCCTTTTTATTTTTTATTTTTGAGACAGGGTCTTGCTAAGTTTCCCAGGCTGACCTCATACTCACAATCCTCCTTCCTCAGTATCCTGAGTAGCTGGGGTATATCAGCCACCATGCCCAACTCCAACATGTTTTTGTTGTTATTTTAAAGTTTTTTTAAATATATTTTTTTAGTTATAGATGGACACAGTACCTTTATTTATTTATGTGGTGCTGAAATCGAACCCAGTGCCTTACATCTGCTAGACAGTATTCCACCACTGAGCTATAATCCCAGCCCCCAGTATGTTTTTTTTTTTTTTGTCATAGAATCCCTTTATTTTATTTGTTTATTTTTTTATGTGGTGCTGAGGATCGAACTCAGTGCCTTACACATTTGAGGTAAGTGCTTTGCCGCTGAGCTACAGCCCCAGCCCCCCCAGTATGTTTTTTATGAATCAAAAAAAACAAATCTTACACATGAACAGTTCCTGTACTTACATTCTTTGGGGTTAAACTTAAAAGTCCGAAAACCCCAGGGATTAGAAGTCAAAATTTTATACTTTCCCCTCAGTTGTCATTGATGCATAATTATTTGTAGAAAGTCATGTTCATGAGGCACCAACCTTAGTCAGAAATGACATAAGGACGCGTCCTTCCTAGGTTACTGGCACAGAATGATTCAAGATGACCAAGAAAGAAAAGGGGTTTTGGCATTTATACATGCTCTCTGGTTTGAACCCCTTCTCAGGACATTGGCTACCTCTCTGTCTCTAGTAGCTTTATCTCTTCTTAGGGAAAGGATAAGAGAAGGATGCATTTCTTCAGGGATAAAATCCTTGACAGCATGTGGAACCAATAACAGCTGGCTTTCAGTAAATTTCTTTTCTTGAAATACTCAATTTCTATTATTGAAATGGAGCTTTATTGAATGGAGCCACCCTGGTCAGCCTGAGGTCAGATTGTACCCTGTCTTTAAAAAGAAAAGAGCTGGGCACAGTCAGTCAAGCCTGTAATCCTAGTGACTAGGGAAGCTGAGGAAGGAGCATTGCAAGTTCAAAGCCAATTTAGCTAAGCCCTAAGCAACTTAGTGAGACTGTCTCAAAATAAAAAATAAAAAAGGGCTGGGGATATGGCTCAGTGGTTAAGCACCCCTGGGTTCAGTCCCTGGTACCAAAAATCATAATGATTATGATGATGAAGATGATGATGATGATGCTGTTGTTGATGTTTAAAAGCAGTACAGTTTATTGCATGATTTTGTCCAATATAATACATGAATCCTGACCGGAACAGGAATGAGTTTTCCATCTTGGGCAATCCCACTAACTAGCCAGGTTAGTTTGCTTCTAGGAGCTGCTATTCCACTGCCCAGGACAAACCTTAATTTGCCTCAGATATCAGCAGTAGCCACATAAATTATAAAACATGATATTAAGCCATGCATGGTGTCAAAAGTATATAATCCTAGCTATTCAAGAGGCTGAGGAAAAGAGAATCTGTTGAGCCCCAGAGTTCAAGGCCAACTGGGGAAATAGAGAGACCCTGTCTCAAAAAAACCGAAAATTCAAAATATAATTATCATTCACAGATTACTTTATTTTTTCAATAACTATGAGAAATAGCATTGCAGTCTCCATTTGTTATGAATAAGAAAACCAAGGCTATAAGAGGTCGAGTGACTTACCTAAGGTCACACAGTAAATGGCAGAAAATTTGAACCCAGGTTTTGCTGACCCCAAAGCCATTGCTCTTAAACAATGCATTATACTCTTAAATATTATACCATGCATTGCATAGATTCACTAAGTGCACGACAAAAATAGTAAATACAAACTTTGAACTCAACTATCATAATTAAAGTTTCTTCTGTTTCTTTCCTCTTCCTAACCAGTGACTAAACACTGTTAGTTATTGATTGTAGAACTGCCACACAACTTGTTAGGTTTGCCTAGGTTCATTCCTAATCCAAGAGAGAGATTGAGGCTCCCTTTAACAAGGCCAGCAGGGCTAAATGAGGCCCACAGGGACTGGCCTCAAACATACGCAGAGACCCAAGGACAGACTGATCCATCTGCCTTACTGAAAGCCCAAGTTTGATGCATATCAACTCTAAACAGTAGTTCTCTTCCTTCTAGAGGAAATTGGCACATATTGAAAGGAAAGCAATTAGGTTGTTAACATACAGGCAAACCAGAGCTACTGTAGCCCTTCAGTTTGCCTTGCTGTTTTCTGCATGCACTATACACTATCAAGTCCAAACTTAAGCAGGCAATTTGAAAGCCCAGGAGAAATTAAAAACTTCCATTGCTCTACTTTACAACATAGCAATTCAACCCAGCTTTATGCACCCATTACACTTGAAGCAGCTTTTTCAGTCCAAATTCTTCTTAGCCTAGTAAAAAATTTTGTTGTCAGCACTGCAGAAAATAAATAAAATAGTTGTTCAATGGCAGCAAGAAGACAGTTATAAGTTTATTAATTACCACCCTGTCAGGTCTTCTCTAGGAGCCATGAAGGAAAAAGGAAATAAAAAATAAAAATGTGAATTGACATTAGCAAGTCTATAGATAATAAAGCCCTAAAAGTCAATAGCCAAAGCTACTGAAGAAGAATCAGAGGCTCCCCAAACAGTAGCTATAATATAAAACACTACTAAGCAACTTTTCTCTTTCCCTTAGAAGTAGTCACTACAATAGCATATAATAAATTCTTGGTGACACCAAGACTAAGGAGTCTTATTCTGCTTCAGCTACCCTCAAATCAGTGGGATCAAGAACTTGACCATAAGGGACATTTCCCATTTTATTTATTTGTTTTTGTGGGGCTGGGTATCGAACCTAGAATTTTATACATTTGAGGCAAGCACTCTTCCACTGAGCCACATCTCCAGCCCATTTCCCATTTTATTGATAAGGAAAACAAAGGCATCAAAAATCTAATAGATGAGGCTAAATACTAAAATTGCTTACATTGCTGCCTCTAAATACACGTCTGTGAGGTAGAATGTAAACAAAGTTCATGGGAGCATCTTTACTCTGAAAAGTCACACCTTACTTTATTCTGAAAGGTGCCCAGAGAAACTCTCAAAACAGCTGAATTTGGATTTGAACAATCCTGAAAAAATTGAGACAACTCCACAAAACAAACAGAAACTGGGCCCAACCAACACCTGTTTGCCTAACAATATCTGCCTATCTGTCTGTCATCTTTCCCAACTGTACACTTAATACAAAAGCTGCATTATTCTGGTAAAGTTGCATTCCAGCCTAGAGTGTAAGGTTAATGTTTTTTATAGCCACATGTCTCCTTGTGATGGATGGCAACTTTATAATAAAATTTTAAAATAAAATAAATGCTCAATAAACTTAGAAATAATGGATGTTCCATTTCATAGCATACTCAATTCACAAAATAAAAAAGGAGTGGTAACAAGAGTAGTTCCTAGAAAAAGGAGAGACTCAAGAAAGAATCCCCTGTAACTCCTTAACTCCTTAAAAAAGTATAGTCCTAAGGAGAATTTGGTATCTAAAATGGCAGGCAGGTGTGGTGGTGCACAGGGTGCATGTCTGCATCCAAGCTGCTTGGGAGGTTGAGGCAAGAAGATCTTAAGTTCAAATCCAGCCTGGCAACTTAGGGAGATCTTTTCTCAAAATGAAAAATAAAATGGGCTAGGGATATAGCTCAGTGGTAGAACACTTGCTCGCATGTACCTGGGTTCAATCCCTCAGTACTGTTTAAAAAAAAAAAAATGATTTTAGCAAATGGTATTGGATCCATTGATATCCACATGCAAACAAATGAACCTCAACCTCACATTTACAGAAAAATTTGACTGAAAATGGATCACAGATCTAAATGGAAAATGTAAAATTATAATACTTTTAGAAGAAAACATGAGAGACTATTTTATTGACCTGGAGTTAGAGGGAATTTAGACATTACACTAAAATACATAAAATAAACATTGATAAATTAGACTTTTTAAAAAATAAAAATGTCTGCTCTGTGGAAGATACTATTAAGAGAAGAAAAAACAAGGTTCAGACTGGGAAAAAAATATGTAAATAATTATCTCACCATTAAAGTATTTGAATACAGAAATCTCTAAACTTAACAGTAAGAAAACAAACCAAGGGCTGGGGATGTGGCTCAAGCCGTAACACGCTCGCTCGCCTGGCATGCGCGGGGCGCTGGGTTCGATCCTCAGCACCACATAAAAATAAAACAAAGATGTTGTGTCCACTGAAAACTAAAAAATAAATATTAAAAAAATTCTCTCTTTCTCTCTCAGAAAGAAAGAAAGAAAACAAACCAATTTAGTTTAAAAATGGGCAAAAGACTTGAACAGACACATCACGCAAAAAGATATTTGGATGGCAGATAAACACATCAAAAGATGTTCAACATCCTTAGCCGTTAGGGAAATACCAACTTAAACCATGTGGAGATACTACTATCTAACAACTTGGCTTGTATAAAAATATGGGCTAAGGTTTTAGCTCAGTGTAGTATACAATAGTATATACCTGCCTAGCATGTGTGAGGCACTGGTTTCCATCCTCAGCACCACATAAAAATTAAAATAAATAAATAAAGGTAATGTGTCTATCTATAACTAAAAAAAAAAAAATTAAAAAGCTAAAAATCCCAAGGATTGGAGAGGATACAGGGAAGCTAAAAATTTCAGTTCGGGAAGGAATGCAGACTTGTATGGCTTAAAAATAATTCTTAAAAATATTTTAGCTGTAAAGCTAAACACACTTACCTTTGATCCAGAAATACCACTTCTGGGTATAAGAATCCAGTCTTAAAAGGTTACATGCTCTGTGATACCTTTCCTTATGAGCTCCTTGATAAAACTATGGTGAAAGAGAACAGATCAGCAATTGTCAGAGGTTGGTGGGTAGGGAGGGTATGACTACAAAGGGAAGGGCAGAGGGAGTTTTCTGGGGTAATGAAACTATTATGTATTCCTGTTTATGGTGGTAGTTACACAAATCTAAATATGCGCTAAAATTCATAGAACTTTATGAATCACTCATAAAGAGAGTCGGTCTTACCTAATTAACAAACAACAAAGAGAGGCAAAAGTTATAACCCTAGCTGAAAACCTGTCCTAGACTTTCACTTGAAGGAAGCCAGGAAGTATATAGTTATAACAACTAGATGAAAACAGAAAGTCTGTTCCCTCTAAGATTTTTTCTTCTAGACTTTTTAGCTCAAATATGCTAAACATGACCATTTTTTAAATGATATATCAAATAGTACATAATGCATTTGTGTTCCGAAAGCAAGACTAAATGACTTTAATTTTTAAAAAATATTTTTATTATTGATGGATCTTTATTTATTTATTTATTTGCTTATATGTGGGGCTGAGATGCGAACCCAGTGACTCACCCATGCTAGGCAAGCGCTCTACCACTGATTCACAACCCCAGCCCTTAAATGACTTTAATTTTTAAATGTGCTTTTAAAATAAGTTTCCCCAAGGTTGACTCATAGTCCAGTAGGGAGGGAGAGCATGGAAGGATTAGATGAAGTCTAGATAGGGAAGAGGGGTGGGTGGGAAAGGGAGAGGGCAAGGAATTAGCAAGGATGGTGGAATGTGATGGACATCATTATACAAAGTACATGTATTAAGACTTGAATTGAGTGTCAACATACTTTATATTCAAACAGAGATATGAAAAACTGTGGTACATATGTGTATTAAGAATTGTAATGCAAAAAAAAAAAACACCCAAAAAACAAAGTACATGTATAAAGGCATAAATTGGCATGAACATACTTTATATACAGAGATATGAAAAATTGTGCTCTGTATGTGTAATATGTAGTATGTATTTAATACATACTGTTGTCATGTATTAAAAAAATAAAATCAATAAGAGATAAAAAAAAAATTTCCCCAAATATATTCCTTAACATCTCAACTCTCTACCTCCACCACCACAGCTTGTGTGTATCCCATTCACAGAGGTTTTTTCCTACTTTTTTCTCCTGAAAATTGTACATCTCTAGGTGGATATAGTAGTAGATGAGAAGCAGGTTTTATACAGCTGATATGATCACTCACTGTATAGACAAGCTTGAAAAATGCTACCCAATCTGCCAATTAATTAATCTGAAGAGCAGCCAGTCCCAGGAAATGTTTACCCAGAGAGGGGTGGGTGGTGGTAGGAATTGAGTGGGAACCTATCTATATTTGCATGAAAATGAAGGTGCTTAGGAAACCCAACTTCCTTTTGTGGTAAAGGTAAGATTGCCTGGATCACTTCCCTAAAAATTTTTTGGCCATTTTTAGGAAGGAAGCCTTTTAGGGAAGTGGCTCTGAAAGATGAAAACATAGTGAAGTTTAGAAAAATAAATTAAACTCTGGACAGAGTAGAGAGCAAGTTCAGTGTAATATGGTTCCTTTGACCTGGCATGAAATATTCTAAATTCAGGAGTATATGATGTAGTGATTGTATAAATTTTAGAGCCATATAAACTGAGTTCAAGTCCCATCTCTGCTTAATAGTTGTGTCATTTGAAGCCAATCATGAATCTTATCTGAGCCTTATTTTTCTTATTGTAAAATAAAGACTATGATGCCCCTTTATCTCAGGGAAGGTAGCTCTCTCTGCTTCCTCTAGGCGGGAAGGAGACAGAGTGGTAAGGAACTTCCAAGATTGCAGAATGTTCCATGACTAAAGGACTGCTCAGCCTTTTGTTTATTTTAACTTATTTTTCTTTCTTTCTTTCTTTTTTAATTTTTTAAGCTACAGATGGACACATAAAAATATCTTTACTTATTCATTTATTTTTTATATGGTGCTGAGGATCAAACCCAGGGCCTCATATGTGTGAGGCAAGCACTCTCTACCACTCAGCCCCAGCCCCAGCCCCAGCCCTAAACTTATTTTTCAACAAGGGACTATAAACAAGGTTTCCCCTCACTCTTCTAGATTGACCACACTCTTTAAGTGAAGTGACCTTGACCATAATAGTAAAGAGATATGAAAAATCTCTTTACATAAAGACTGGAGCCCACCCTGGGATTTCTTTGGCTATGTTTTCTGTACCTCAGAAGAAGTTTACCTATATATCACTGCAGGGTAGGGGGTGAAATGGACATGGAAAATTGAGTTGTAATAGTCAATTATATTAAAGAACTGTTGTTATTTTTTAAAAAATTATTGTAAATAAATATTATTATTATATTATTATATATTTATTTACAATAATATATAATAATAATATATATATATAACAAAATTTACCATTTTGACAATTTTATTGTTAACTTTTTAAAACATTTGTGCTTTCAAAAATTATTAATCTTTTAGAGCTACATACTAGGGATTGAAACCAGAGACACTTATACTCAGATACATCCATGGTCCTTTTTATTTTTTATTTTGGAACATGTTTTTGCTAAGCTGCTGAGGTTGGCCTCAAATTGCAATACTCCTACCTTAGCCTCCTGAGTTGATAGGATTATAGATGTTTGCCACTGCTTCCTACAAACCAAAAATTTTACAGATAAAATTTACAGGTAAAGGGCTGGGGATGTGGCTCAAGCGGTAGCGCGCTCGCCTGGCATGTGTGCGGCCCAGGTTCGATCCTCAGCACCACATACCAACAAAGATGTTGTGTCTGCTGAGAACTAAAAAAAATAAATATTAAAAACTCTCTCTCTCTCTCTCTCTCTCTCTCTCTCTCTCTCTCTCCTCTCTCACTCTCTCTTTAAAAAAAAAAAATTTACAGGTAAAATGGTATGGTATCTGGGATTTGGTTCAAGGTAATTCAGGGGGAGCTAGATTGATACCAGGAAGGAAGAACTCTAGCCTCATAGCACATGCAAGAAGGGCCTTTTTCTAGAAGTTAGCTTTTTTCCTAGGGTTTAGCTTTTTTTTTTCCTTTGTTAGATGTTCATTTGGTTTCTATCTTTATTTGTTTTTTCGTCATAGAACTCTCAGAAATTGAGCCCAATGTATTCCTTCGTCCATTTCTGGAAGTGATTCGCTCAGAAGATACCACTGGCCCTATCACTGGACTGGCTCTTACCTCTGTCAACAAGTTCCTGTCCTATGCACTTATAGGTAAGAGCTTATACTTTGTTAGATGACTATAGCACTTTATTTCTTGCCTCTCTTGGGTTGCTGAGGCCTTAGTCAATAAGCTGATGATACTGGAAAATTTCTCAGCCATCCCTTTCCTTGTAGAAGAGAAATATGATTGTTATTGTTACTCATCGTGCTAATTGAATGGGGTTGTGCAGGCAAGAATGGGAGGGACAAAAGTTTACCCTAGGACTGTGGTATCTCTAATGCTTTGAGAGTTAAGGGTACGATCTGATTTTATTTATGTAAATGTATGTATGCATATCTTTATTTAATTTATTTGTATGTGTGAGGTGCTGGGGATTGAATTCAAGGTGTCACACATGCAAGGCAAGCACTTTTCTACTGAACCATACCCATCCCTAAAGTTATATTTTCAAATATTAATGTATTCTTATTGTAAGAAGACAGATAATAAAGAAGTATCTGAAAGAAAAGTTAATTGTTTCTCTTCTTTCTCAATGTTCCAGCCCCTTCCTTAGGTAAATAGTGTCTGAATATTTCTTTTTTTTAAATTATATATATTTTTAATTGTTAATGGATCTTTTATTTTATTTATCTATTTATCTATTTAGGATTGAACTTAGGGCTTACACATGCCAGGCAAGTACCTTACCACTGAGCCACAACTTCAGCCCATGTGTCTTGAGTTTTCTTTTTTCTTCTTTTTAATATTTTTTAGTTGTAAATGGACACAATACCTTTATTTATTTATTTTTATGTGGTGCTGAGAATCGAACCTAGTGCCTCACACATGCGAGGCAAGTGTTCTACCACTGAGCTATAGCCCCAGCCCATGTCTGAGTCTTTCTATAAGTAAATAGGTAAATAATGGTTTGAATCTGTTTTGGGGTTTTTTGTTTGTTTGGTTTTTGGTTTTGGTACCAAGAATTTAACCCAAGGATGCTTAACTACTGAGCTCACATTGCCACATTCCCACCCCCACAACCCTTTTTTTTTTTTAACAATTTGGTTTTACTAAGTTGCTTAGGGCCTGGAATTTGTAATCCTCCTGCCTGAGCCTCCGTAGTCACTGGATTACAAGCATGTGTCACCACACCGGTTTGGTTTGAATCTTTCTGTACCTTCTATACCACCTTCTGTGTGTATATAAATATGAAGTTCTGCCCCTTTTAAAAAACAAAAAGGATTATGTGCTATATATTTTCTTTTTTGTTAATTTAAACATACATGATAAAATTATCCATCTGATTTATCTTTTTTATTGTAGTAAAAAATAAATAACATAAAATTTTTGCTTTTAATCATTTTTAAGTATATAATTCAATGGAATTAATTATATCCACAGTGTTGTCCAGATATTTCCACTATTTCCCAAACTTTTTATCTTTTATCACTCCAAATAGAAAATCTAATGATTAAGCAATAATTCCCCATTTCTTCCCTTTTTGCCTCTGATATGATTTTTTTAGTAGCTATGAGAGTCCCATGTTATAACAATTCATTGACTCATTATTTAATATTTAGATTATTTTCTTTTTGGGGCCATTATAAAGCTGAAATAAACATCCTTGTTCATATGTTCTTATTTACTAATTTTACTTTTGTATGAAATATTTCTGAACTTGGAATTTCTGGTTTAAAGGCTAGGTGCATATCACATTTATATAGGTATTACCAGATTGCTTCCCCTAAAGGTTGCAGCCTTTATTTCCCCCATCAATATTTGAGAATTTCCATTTCCCCACTCTGCTCTCAGCTCTGAATGTTTATCAGTTTTCTTTTTTGTGTGCCACTTTGGTGGGTTAAAAAAACCAAACTGTATTTTGTTGTGTTGGTTTCCATGAGGTTAAAAGTTAGAGTTTCCTCTCCTTTGCCTCTTTTTTCATTGAGTTGTTTTGGTTTTTCTTATTAATATGTTAAGCTTTTTTGTATATTGGGGATATCAACCCATTATCTATCACAGTATTACAAGTCTTTGCTTCCAATCTAGGCCAAACATTTTACCCAGTCAGTAGTTGATCTCTGAATTTGTTGATGGTGTCTTTTTCTTTCTTTCTTTCTTTCTTTTTTTTTCTTAATTCTTTTTCAGTTGGTCTAGTCACTTAGAATCCTGAATTCTTTTTCCCTTATTACCAATCCATGTGCAAGGATGAGGAACATTAAAAAAAAAAAGCAGCTGTCTTTGTTTCTAAGAAGGGAGACAAAGAAAATATAAGGCTCGGGGCTATAGCTAGCTAGAAAAGCAAATGGCCTTCTATTCAGAGCAATAAAAAAACTCTTTATCTTTTTTAGAAAGTTGGATTTACTAAGCTAAAGCATTCAGGATCCTAAGCAGGAGTCTTGGGTTCTGAATAAGTACATCAGCCTCTGAGGGCACTAGTCCCAGTTTCACACTTTTCCTAAACAAAATTAGGCCCAGCCACTTCCAGCCTTGCCCTGAGCACCACCTGCAGGTTGCGTCTCTTCACAGCGTCCAGCAGCTGCCCTTCTATGCCTTTTTCTGATCTCTTGGTGTTGCTCTCCCCCTTTCCTGAACTTGGCAGACAGGCTGGTCATTGGAGAACTTAGGCCAGCTGGTCATTGGAGTTTCCTGTGGTGGGAAAAGAGAATGCTGGAGGTGGTGACTGCAGTGGCATGAGAATAAGAGCAGGAAGGAGTGTATGAAAGCCAGATGAAGTTGGCAAATTTCCCTGAAGCTGGCCCCAGAGTGGACAGAAAAGGACATTCTGAGGATAGGATCTAGGGGACAAGGTCTTTTAAATGGTCTCAAGACAAACGATTATTTTTGGAGGCTTCCCTCCTAGAAAAAACATCCCACACCTCTGAATCCTGTAGTTCAAGGCTCCTGGAATTCTTTTAGGTGCTACTCCAAGGACTGGCCTTTGGTTTGGCCACACACAGCTGGTAGATCAAGACTTGTGCCACTCTACCCAGCTTGCTGAAAGGCCCTGCCTGTGGTTCTAAAGGCCTGTCACTAATACCTGCCTTTTTAGAAAATGAACTTTGCTGCTTTGTTCAAGCTCAAAGGATAAGAATACAAAGAGATCAGTAGAGATTAAACCACCTTAACGAAGAGATTACTGAAAGAAAAGAAAAAATGAACCCCAGAAGCCTTGTGAAATGAAAGCAAGGCTGCCATTCACTGAGCCCAGATATGCCACACAACACTGAGAAAGACGTGTCTTTCCTGTGTCAGCACTGTAGGCCTTAATAAGGACTATGAGAAAAGGCTTGGACGAGGGCCTGAGAGTATGGAATTTTCTCTACTGATTGGGAGAAACGGGAGGAAATAGGGTGATAGGAAGAGGAGCTGGATCACCCTGTTGTGCTGTGTATCATGAAATGCTTCCCTCTGCATAACCTCTCAAGTAGCCACTCTTGATGCTCAGTGGAGGCATTCTATAAGTAGGACAGTCTTTGATACAGTGTCAGAGACTACATTGAAGGAGAAAAAGAAAAAACAAATGAAAACTACTTTTAAACTAATGATAGTCTCTGGCTCATTGTTGCAGGAAAAATGCTTGGGTCTCTCAGCCATCTCCATTCTCTTTAGAGGAACTCCATTAACTTTAGGTACCAAGAAAGAGAAAATGTCAAGAATGTCTTCTGACTACCACTTTAGATTAGGAGGTGCTTCCTTCATTACATCATGCCACCTTGGGAGCAATTTTCCTCTTGTCACTTTTAGAGCTTTATGATGTGCCTGCCTTTCTCCCCTACTTATGCTCTCCTTTCAGGACAAAACATCAGTGGCAAGTCCTTCAGAACAGACGTGGTGCTAGAGCCAGCAATCTAGGCAGTTCTGCAGGACTCCCATAGGTCTTGATGGAGGCAACTTCTTGGCCTACTCCTTGTGGCTATTTTTTTTTTTAAGAGAGAGGAGAGAGAGAGAGAGAGAGAGAGAGGGAGGAGAGAGAATTTTTAATATTTATTTTTTTTTAGTTCTCGGCAGACACAACATCTTTGTTGGTATGTGGTGCTGAGGATTGAACCCTGGCCGCACGCATGCCAGTCGAGCGCGCTACCGCCTGAGCCACATTCCCAGCCCCTCCTGTGGCTATTTAACATAGGTGTGGGAACAGAGTTCTCCCTTGGCAGCATTTGTGTTCATTTCCAGCTTAATGCTGGTTGTGTGACCTCCAACTTCTCCCCTCTTCTTATTCACAGATGAAATTCTTCCTACTCCTCCAACTGGTTAGCCTCCAGTCCTGTTTAGCTTGTTTAGTTTCTTTCCTAATACCTGGCTGGTTAAGCTGGCAATAAGATTCTTGCTTAGTGGGCCATGTTGTTTTAAATAAGAATGAAACAAAAGAGCTGAGCACAGTGGTACATGTCTATAATCCCATATACTTAGGAGACTGAGGCAGGAGGATCGCAAGTTCCAGGCCAGTCTGGGCAACTTAACAAGACCCTGTCTCCAAATATAAAATAAAAAGTGGATATAGAGCTGGGCATGGTTGTGCACACCTGTAATCCCAGTGGCTCCAGAGCATGAGGCAGGAGGATCTCAAGTTCAAAGCCAGCCTCAGCAAAAGCGAGGCACTAAGCAATTCAGACCCTGTCTCTAAATGAAATACGAAATAGGGCTGGGGATCTGGTTCAGTGGTCGAGTGCCCCTGAGTTCAATCCCCGTTACCCCCCAAAAAGTGGATATAGATATAGCCCCAATGGTAGAGTGCCCCAAGGTTTAATCCCCAGTACTACAAAAAAAGAAAGAAACCAGAAAGACCTCTGATCTGCTGTCATATGGCACCCAGATAGGACTATTTGGTGGCAGTGACCATTCGTTTCCTCCCTCTTCTCCTCCACCTCAGTTGTGCCTGAAATACAACTCCAAAAGCCACCAGAGAGAGAAGCAAAGAGAAAGGCTATAATTTTGTCATTCTAAGCTCTGTCCCTAGTTGGTGCTTTCTGTAGGCCCAAAACTCATTATTTCCAGGTCCTACCTTTATAAATTGAGTAGCTTAATGCCGGTGATTCCCAATATGTAGTCCCCTTGCCAGCAGTATTAACTTTACTTGGGATATCGTTTGAAATGCAGATTCTTAGGCCCCACTCTAGACCTGCAAAATCAAAAACTCTGTAAGTGGGCCAGTAATTTGTATGTTTAATAAAGTACTACGAGGTAATTCTCCCATACCTAAGTTTAGGAAGTACTGTTTTATCTAGTGGGATTGTGCTGAGGAACTTGCTAAAGCCAATTTGAGGCAAAAATCCTCAGGTACTCAAGGAACCATAGGTTTAGGAACTGGAGAGGAGAAAATCAGAGTCTCTTAAAGCAATCCATAGACAGGTTATCTCCTTTTCTCTCTCTTCTCCATAATGTTTATTCTTCCCTTTCCTTTTTTTTTTTTTTAACTCCCCTGGAGCAGATCCCACACATGAGGGCACAGCAGAGGGCATGGAAAACATGGCAGATGCCGTCACCCACGCCCGTTTTGTGGGCACAGATCCTGCCAGCGATGAGGTTGTCCTGATGAAAATCCTTCAGGTAAGCTGGAGGGGAAAAGCAAATTAGGATAATGGCTAGGGACTGGTGCCACAGTTCTACTTACCTAAGGCAGCAGGTAGCATGGAGCAATGTTTTGACTCTACTGGAGCCTAGGGACCAACTTTATTTCCAAACAAGCAGCTTGCATACCCAAAGTAAAAGCTCTTTCTAAGGAAAATAATTAAAAGCTTTAAATGCATTGATATCAAATACCAAAAGCCCTTAATACACTTGTACCTCTGGCAGACTGTATTTGTGTCCATCTGTTGGGCTTGTGGGCTAGGGCTGGAACTACTTCTGAATTATGTCAGGGTTTTACAGAGGGAAGAAACAGTTCCCAAGCCAAGCTTTGGAGAGACTTTCCTATCAGGCCGAAGTGAGCTTGCCAGTCTTGCTAACCTTTTTTTAAACTCGCTCCTGGGCTGGGAATGTAGCTCAGTGGTAGAGCATTTGCCTAGCATGTGTGAGACCCCAGGTGTTGCAAAATAATAACTTTTAAAATAATAAAAATTCGCCCTTCAGTATTTCACTAGGAGATTGGACAGTCACTAGGCAGCTTTTCTTCCCACAGGTAAACCTCTTTTTTTTTACCCAGCCTTCTTTGCCATCTTCTCTTTGTTCTGACAGGTTCTAAGGACTCTCTTACTAACCCCAGTGGGTGCCCACCTAACCAATGAATCTGTGTGTGAGATTATGCAGTCTTGCTTCCGGATCTGCTTTGAAATGAGGCTCAGTGGTAGGTACTTGAATACTGGCTCCTTCACGATTTCTGGGGCCAGTTATTGGGTGTACACATAAGATACTGTCTCTGAATCCCAAAGAGATGGAAAACTCAGGACTTTTTCATCATCTACTCTGTGGAACCATAGAGATCTAGAAATGTCTAGTAGACAGCTGTGAAAGCTAAAATAGAGACCTCAACCCATTATGCCAAGATAGGAGTGTAGGGATGGATCCCAGACTGTCTCAGCCCCAGCACCAAGTCTCCCTCCTTGGGGATTCTGGGATTGACACCAGCCTGCCAACACCAGAGAATGTGGCTACAGTGCTCCCTTTTTCTCTGACTCAGTAGTGCCACCTAGTGGGCCAGTGAGATTATGGCTACCAGGGTGAGCTGGAGCTGGTTTTAATAAGTTTGGCATAATCCTTGGTAAACAAGGTTTGGAGGGGAGTCTGCTCTGAGAAGCCTCCTGATAATAGCACAGCAAGTAATGACACCTGTGTTATTTGTTTTTGCCTGTGCAGAGTTATTGAGAAAATCCGCAGAGCACACTCTCGTAGACATGGTGCAGCTGCTCTTCACAAGGTAAACCTGCTGCTGTTTGCTTCAGCCCTGCTGCCCAGGCCTCTTGAGTCTGCCTGCTTCCATACAGTCACTTCAGGGACTTGTCCAACCCCACAGCCACATCACAGGCCACTGGGATTATGAATCGGCGTAGTTCTCTGGGCCCAGGGTTAGTGAGCAAGGGAGGAGGAATAGGGAGCTGATTTAGCCTCAGGAGGAGGAGGAGGCAGAGTGTTATTTATTCTAGGCTGACAGACCTAGTTCTGCTTTCTAAATTTGTGTCTGTTTCTCTGTTGGTAGCAGCTGGGAAAGAGAATCCAGAAAATAAGTCAAACTTAAAAGAGTATGGAGAAGGTTACTGATTGCTGTGGGAGAAAGCTAGGCTAGGGTGACCACCAATCATGAGAGCTGATCTGCTATCCCTCATCTTGGTTTGCCCAGGAATGTCTTGATTTTAACAAAGTTCAACATCCTGACAAATCCCTCAGTCCCAGGCAAACCAATATAGTTGATTTCCCAAGTTAAGGCCTCAGACTAGGGCATTTTCCTAATAGACCTAACTGCCTATTTCATGTATCTCCTTTCAGTAGACTCTCTTTGAGAAGAGCTGAATTGATGGCTTTAAAACCTCTCTCTGGAATTTCTTTTCATTCTCAGATCTATAGATAATAATCCTTATTATCTAGACTAGACTGACCCCAGACCATGATATAAGGAGTTTCTTACTCCTTAGGCTCAAATTTACTGGTTTCAAAACTTGAACCGGCTTTTTACTTCTTGCTGTATGCCTAGTCTCCTGGGATTTTGATAGTTTGCCTTCTCCCCATCTCTTTGCTTTCAGCAATACTTTCCAAAGATGAAAAGAGGCTCCCCACTCTGAGGGCACTTAGTCACCTTGCTCTAGTGACTACCTTCTTTGTCCAAGTCATATATCCCCCAATTCCTTTGGCTCTTTGATAAAACTCTCAAGAGTGAAATTAGCCTGCTTCTCTAACTAAATTTTACTAAAAGACAGGGATGCTCTGATACAGAGCACCTTTGGCTGTAGTTGGCAATTATAGTCCATGGGATTCTCTATCTTGTAGGTTACCTCAGTTTAAAGAAGAACCCAAGAGTTATGTGGGGACCAACATGAAGAAGGTAGGATCTGCAAGCTGATATGCTATCCCTCATCCAAACCTTAATCTCCCAATTTCAGTGCTGTGGCCCTTGCTTAGCAAAGACATGCTTTTGCCTAGACAGTTCTGCTTGGAATCTGCTGTCCTTTATTGAGAAATCTATTCTCTCCCAGATGCTACTTCTTCCCAAACTTTTTCTTTCTGGCCTTTGTTGATCCACCACATAAACTGGTGAGCCAGTCCTTTATGGAAATAGAGTAAGTCCATCAGACTGGCTAAAAAATGTATGTTGACAAAGGTAAAAGTCCAGCCATCCCCTCAGGGCTCATCCTTGACAGCAGGTAGGTATCCTAGAGAAGCTGTGCCCCAATTCTACCCTAATACTGGATTAGACAGGCCACATGCCTGCTATATAGTCTCTGTTGAAGAGATAAATCAAGTCAAACTCCAAATCAAAGGATTCTCAAACTGCTACAAGAATGATGGTCAGAAGGATGGCCTCTTTCTATCTTGAACTAAAGCCATGGACTTCACAGGCCTCTGATGAGGATTCTGCTTGTAGCCCTAAAAGGCTCTACCCATGGAGATAACCGTTGGCTGTTCAGTGCATGTACCTGACCTTCCCCTGTCCCCTGCCATCCATTCCCATTCCTGCCCTGTGCCCTGTTGGCCTGTGTCTGAGTTTATTTCACTCTGTTTAAATCGTGCGTTTGCCTGTCTTTCACAGATTTCTCCATGTCTCCTCAACAAACTGGAGCTAAGTAGTGGGGAGCAGACCAAAGCCCTGAACCAGTTAGAGAGGGTACTACTCTTTAAGAACCTCAAGGTCTCTCTCCCTCTCCCTCTCCCTCTCCTTTCCCCTTTATTTATTTATTTAAATGTTTATTTTTATATGTAACACCTGGGTCCCATTTCTATTGTGTAGAGCACAACTTACCCTTCCCTGGTAACACAGCTTGGCTTTGGAAGAGTTGCATGTGTTTGTAGCTTTGCAGTGTTGGGAATTCTCCTGGGGCCTCTTGATTGCCTGGAGGCAGAAGGAACCCTTGAATTTCATATAATGAATCTATAGAGGCTGGGTCCTATTATCATCTTGTGGGGAGGCTGAAGATACACCCTTTATAGGGGAACTACAGGGACCTCCAAGCAAGACCTTTTCCTCTTCTACCCTCTCCCTGTCTCACAACTGGCATAAAGAGATTAAACAACAGTCCCCAAGTCAATTGGGATACCTGAACTGGGTTTGGAGGGAAAAGATAGTCCATCTAGTGGGGCACTTTTTATTTCTTGGTTTCAATTAAAGGGATTATTCTGAGATTTATATCTGTAGATTAATAAGAAACAAATCTGGTGCCAGGATAGCCCAGAACATTAGGAATACCTTGGGATCTGTAAAGATGCCCTTTGTCTCTTCAGAGTCAAGATGCATGGGAGCTTATGGCTAAAAATTATCCAAGTCCCCATATCATTGCCCTAGGAGGAAGAAGGAGAAAGAAAGATATTTATCTGCCGCAAAAATATGCATGCCAAAGGTGTGGATGGTGACATCTCAGTTATTGAAGATAAAAATAACTCTCTGTGTTTGTCCGTTTGTCTCCCTACCTAGGTAGTATATGGGCCTGTGTCCTTTTTGAATGCATTGTCTCAAGTTTCCTTTGTGTGCTTGCATAGTCTCAAGTTGTAGGTCTCTTTGGTGGCTACCCAGCATGCTGCCATGATTATTATCCTAGGAACTGCTCTTTTTTCATAAAGATTTTGCTGGCCTTTTTAATACAGTTTTGTACAGATAAAGTAGGGTAGAGTTCCATGAACGCCTACTGCCTACCCTGCACCAATGACAGATAACACCGCTATACTTTTAAAAAGTTGAGGCATTTGTGAGAACAGACAGCCTTTTCACAACTACTCTAGCTAGCAGGCCAAGAACACTCACTAAAATGACCAGGTTAGAACTACCTTTGCAGATGATAGCGGGAAACAAAGAATGATCCTAATATGGAGGGAATATCAGTGATGATAGTCATTCTCAGTGGAAATAGGACAGAAATGTGGGAACCTCCTGGAGAGAAGAGCTATTTCATAAAAGTGAATATAGTTGTTAGAACTTTTTAAGCTCAGCGACAAATACCAGTAAAGCCAGGAGGTCCTTGTTTTTCCTCATTGATCTCTTGAGCTTCTTTTTCTTCAACTTGTTTGGCTCACTGTTCTCCCTGAACATTTTTATCATAACTTGATCTGGCTGAGCTCCAGTGATTCCTGGAAAGAGCATCCTTCTGTTTCCTGTTTAGTTATAGAGCTCAGAACACTTGAAGCTCATTTTTAGGCATATGACTGCAGGTATTTTGGAGATGCAGTGACCATGAGTGTAAATCTAATGTGAGGCTGCTGCTGTTATTAAGAGCTGGGGGAAAGGCTCAGCTTTTGCACCTATCTCCTTTATTGAAAGGAGTTTTGGGTAGGGAAAGAAGAATTATGTGATTCCTAAGCAAGAGATCAAAGATTACCCAAGCTCTAGGAGTTTTGGGGAGCTTGAAGAAGGGAGCCTATCCCCAGATATCAGAAGGGATTAAACAATTTTCTTAAAATTGCGTATAGAAGGACCAACAATTAAAAGGTCAGGAGATCCCATTGCTACCAAAATTGGGAGCAGCAGAGAGCAAGGTAGCAGCATAATATGACCCTATATCCTTAACGCCACAAATAACCTGGAATGCCACTCCTTTCCTAACTCTAAGGAAATTAGTCTTTGACCAATTTTTTTTTAGTATAAATTTTTAATATAATTTTTTATACCTTTATTTTATTTATTTATTTATTTGTATGTGATGCTGAGAATGGAACCCAGGGCCTTGCACATGCTAGGCGAGCACTCTACCTCTGAGCCACAATCCCATCCCGTCTTTGACCTATTTGATGTGGAAATTCCAGAGAGTAAAAGATATGTTTTTGGTCTAGGTCCAATCTATAGAGCAATAAGAAAGCTTCAAGTCTGGACAGGAAAGAGTAGCCTCTCATAGAAGATAAGAACTAGGAATAGGTGGCTGTTTTGTAGAGTAGTTGAGGAATAAAGCCCAGGAGTCCATAAGCCTATAGATCTGAGGTGATTGGCAAAAGAAACCTGCCCTTACCCTTCCTGCAAGAGAGTCATGAATTGTCTATAGTCATGCATTGTCAGATAGCCTGCTTAATGTAACACCCAGGACCTAGGGAAGCAAGTGATAATAAGTGTGACAACTGGCCCTGTCAATTTCCTGCCCTGAAGTAGAATGTTACTTTCCACACATAGGCTGCTATGCTACCCTGAAATGGCAAATGTAAAAGCCATGTTAGAGGAACAGGAACATAAACTGATGATCTAGATTCTTAACTCCAGCACAAATTGGGGTTATAGGCTGTTTTCTAGAGGCCAGAAGGACTAAATGAAGAGAGATTTCTAGGGATAGAGTCTTAGTTCGAATACTCTTAATTTAAGTCCTAATGAAGTGTGATATTTCCAGCTGAAAATGAGAGCAGGAGGCATGAGTGATTCATCCAAATGGAAGAAACAGAAGAGATCCCCCCGGCCGCCACGTCATATGACCAAAGTCACACCAGGTACAGAGCTGCCTGCCCCTACTGGAACCACCTTATCCTCAAACCTCACTGGTGAGTGTTCTGGACTACTTCCAGGTAGAAGAAAATCTTTTTTTTTTTTTTTTTCTCTCGGGGATTTTGAAATGAAAGACAAACCAACTGAGGAGCTTGGATCTTTTTGCTGGTAGCAAAAAGGGAAACTCTGGGTTAAATCAGACTGTGACCATTGAGCAACCTTCCAGTGTCTTATAGTTGCTTTCCTTTCAGAGGAACTCTGCTGTAGAGACAAGTACATTGTCTTGTACTTAGAGATAAATATGAGATAAATATGCAGAGCCCCAGTACCATGGAGGGTATGTATTGCTATGCAGTCACTCTCTTTCAAGCTTCACTTACTTTTCTTGGCAGGTGGCATGCCCTTCATTGAGGTGCCCACACCCATCTCCTCTGCAAGTTCAGAAACTGCCTCAGCAGTGGTCAGTCCCTCTACAGACAGTGGCCTAGAATTCTCCTCCCAGACTACCTCCAAAGAGGACCTCACTGACCTGGAGCAACCTGGCTCTCCAGGGTATAGCACAGCTGCAGAGCCTGGGAGCAATGAGCTAGGGGTTCCTGAACAGCCTGACTCCCAGGTATTGCTTTGGTTTTTATTTTGATTTTGATTTATTTATTTATTTTAGTTTTAGGTGAACACAATCTTTTATTTATGTGGTGCTAAGGATCGAACCCAGTGCCTCATGCATACTAGGCAAGCACTCTACCTCTGAGCCACAACCCCATCCCTGCTTTGATTTTCAAAGGTCCCTCTCCAATCTTCCACTGTGGGAATTGGCTTGATCCTTTTGATTTTTTATGCAGACCTTGGCTCAAAAGAAGGTTGGGGTAGTGGTTTTCCATTTCCCAAAAGTAGTCATGCTGCCCAGAAGACCTACATCACGACTCACTATGAAAGAAAGCTGATAGGTTTTTATCAAGTTATACATACTGGTAGTACCTGGGCAAAGGGAGGGAGCTGGCCATCTGGCCGTAACTTTTTTTTTTTTAATATTTATTTTCTAGTTCTCGGCAGACACAACATCTTTGTTGGTACGTGGTGCTGAGGATCGAACCCGGGCCGCACGCATGCCAGGCGAGCGCGCTACCGCTTGAGCCACATCCCCAGCCCCGTGACTTTTTTTTTTTTTTTTTAGTTGTAGATGGACACAATACATTGATTGATTGATTGATTGATTGATTGATTGATTTGTGGTATTGAAGATCGAACCCAGTGCCTCACACATGCTGGGCAAGTGCTCTACCACTGAGCTATGTGGCACTCCGACCCCTGGCCATAACTTTTTCTAGAAGGTAGTTATCCAAATTCTAAGCCTAGAAGAGCCTTTACACTCCTAGCTTGTCATAGTAGGTCAATGGTGTCTCAGAGACATTTTCTAAGTCTTTCATCATAGTCCTTCTGCCTTGAGCCATCTTGTATTGATTCATAAACCACTGAGCTGGCCCTGGCCCTCCAGTCCACCAGAGATTAACTTTAAGAACAGGTTCTTCAGGAGAGTAAGTTTCAGGTTGCTCTTGCCTCATTCATCCCTCTTCCTGAATTTGCTTGCTACTGGTCATATCAGGAAGGGACCCAGGTGGAAAAGGCCCAATCAGCATCAGTGGAATCCATTCCTGAAGTGTTAGAGGAGTGCACATCCCCTACTGACCATTCTGACTCTGCCTCCGTCCATGACATGGATTACGTCAATCCCCGAGGTGTGCGCTTTACACAGTCTTCTCAGAAAGAAGGTGGGTACTCTCTGGCAGGTTCTGTTCATCTACCTCTCCCATCCTACCTGCTAAGCTGCCTGAACCTAGACCAGTTTGTATCAAGGCCCTGGCCCTAGTTCTAGGCCATTTTCTATGCAGGAAATGGATTCAAGCCATAAAACTGTTGGCATGGATAGAGCCCTTCCCTAAGTTACACAGAGAGGAAGATTGGTGGATGATAGGAAGTGAGAGGGAAAGCCTTCCAGAAAGGAAGAATTGATCTTTCATTCTGATTACCTCCATTAAATGATACTAGTCTTATTCCTGGGCTTGGGGGTCGGGGAGCAGGTGTCCTTATCCTTGAAGAGAATCACTTACCTGATATTGCCTTGTATAATGCAGGGCAAGCTAGGTTGAAGCTGCAGGCTAGTTGTTTCTTAATAGGTTGTATAATACAGGGCAAGCTAGGTTGAAGCTGCAGGCTAGTTGTTTCTACTTACCTTCCCAGGCACAGCTTTGGTTCCCTATGGTCTTCCCTGCATCCGAGAGCTCTTTCGCTTCCTTATCTCCCTCACCAATCCGCACGACCGCCATAACTCAGAGGTTATGATCCACATGGGACTTCACTTGCTGACAGTGGCCCTTGAGTCAGCCCCTGTAGCCCAGTGCCAGACCCTCTTGAGCCTCATCAAGGATGAGATGTGCCGCCATTTATTCCAGGTAAGACCAGATTACTGGGCCCCTAGATGCTTTTCAGAATGTCGCAAAAGCACAAGGAGGTTTGGCTGACCATGTAGAGAGTAGGTCCCAAGAAAGCACCTCTTTCCCATTTGGCCAGTAGTCATAGTTAAAGGGTTCTAATAATTCTCCAAAGATTCTGAGCAATACAGGAAAGACTAGATATATTTAAAGCACAGCACCTCAATGGCAACTTCACCCAGTTTGCTTTCCTGCCTCTCTTCTGGTTGAGCTGTGGTCAATTTCAGAAACCTCATGACTTACCCTCCTTACCCTCCTCTATCTCCAGCTACTCAACGTAGAACGGCTGAACCTGTATGCAGCTTCTCTACGAGTATGCTTCCTATTATTTGAGAGCATGCGGGAGCACCTCAAGTTCCAAATGGAGGTAAGTTTCTTAATCTTCGAAGAAAAAATAAAGAAGGGAGATGTATGACGTCTTCAGTGGGGGCCAGCTGTGTCAGGCTGCAGTATGTGATATAGATGTAGGAGGATGATTTTAGCCTCCATGGTTTGGTTCATTCACTGGCCTCTGTTATGGAAAACTTCAAAGAAACCAGCGAAAGCTGGCTGACGTAAAATGGGAAAACCCAAATATGTGGATTGGAAGGTAAGGTAATCAGTCTCACCATGAATGGGACCTCCTCTTGCAAGTCAAGCCAGCCCTGCCCCTAAATTGCAAAAGAAAATTCTAAATAGGGCCAGGTCGGACTCACACAGAGAATACAAAAAGGGCAATAGACAACTTCTTTGGGATTAGGCATGTGGAAGAAAAACAGGCCTTATACCCCAACAGGGAAATCAGAGGGAGATATATTTGGGAATAGGATACCTTAGGTGTCTCTTAATACGTACCTCCTGACTGGGCTTCTGCTTGATGTTTTTGTCCAATTTCTGTTCTTATCTTGAATCCTTTCTCCACTCAAATGGTTGTTGCCAGATGTACATCAAAAAGCTCATGGAGATCATCACTGTGGAAAACCCCAAGATGCCTTATGAGATGAAGGAGATGGCACTGGAGGCTACTGTGCAGCTCTGGCGCATCCCCAGTTTTGTCACTGAGCTCTATATCAACTATGATTGTGACTACTATTGTTCCAACCTCTTTGAGGACCTCACTAAGCTGCTGTCCAAGGTGCTGAACACTATTACTGGTCTCTAGACTGGTCTATATTACTGAATGCTTCATCAAGGAAATTCTGGTGGTAGTGAATACACTACCTATAGGGATGAGAGCACTTCAGAGATGGGAAACTGGAAGAATAAAGGCATTTTCTTTTTTTTTCTTCTTTTTTTTTAATATTTTTTTAGGGCTGGGATTGTGGCTCAGCAGTAGAGCATCATCTAGCAGACGCGAGGCTCTGAGTTCCATCCTCAGCACCACATAAAAATAATTAAATAAAGTAAAGGTATTGTGTCCAACTACTTCTAAAAAAATTAATGTTTTTTAAAAAGTATTTTTTTAATTGTAGATGGACATAACTTTATTTATTTTTATGTGGTGCTGAGGATCAAACACAGTGCCTCACACATGCTAGGCAAGCACTCTACCACTGAGCCATAACCCCAGCCCAAATAAAGTCATCTTCTAAGTAGCAGTGGAAAAATCATAAGTTTCGGGACTTGGGGGGAAATAATAAAGTGTGAAGTATTTTTCTAACCTCAAGTATAATGAATCTATATTTACTTTCCAGAATGCCTTCCCTGTATCTGGTCAGCTCTATACAACACATCTGCTGTCTCTTGATGCTCTATTGACAGTAATTGACAGCACTGAGGCCCACTGCCAGGCCAAAGTCCTCAACAATCTCACCCAGCAGGAGAAGAAAGAAACAGCCAGACCCAGCCAAGAGGCAAAAGATGGCACCAGAGAAGCTAACAATAGTGAGAGACATTTCTCTCTATCTCTCTGGCTCTCTTTGTGTTTGTTATGGTATTAGGGATTCTGTGCTTATCCCTTCTCTATTGACTGAGTCCTTGCTCCTGTTATTATATCACTTCTCCTGGAGTACACCCATTTCTGTGTTTCCAGGGTTTGCTGATTTGAGTCACAGGCCAAGTAGACAAGTTAGCAAGACTCATGAACTTCTTCCTTTCTCCTCCTCCCCACTTTGGTGTTTTTATAGGATTATAATTTCCTTTTGGCATGAGAAGAGGACAGAGATTAAAACATACAGGATTTCTCTCCTTAAAAGCTCCAGGCCTTGCTCTTTCCCATCCTCAGTACCTGCCTGCACTCTAACCTTCTCCATCTCCTCCTTGAGACTGAGGAGGTTGAACATCAGGGGAAATGACTGGGTACTGTCTTTGTTAAATTAAAGAATCTAATTCTTGGCCAACATGGATCAATGACTGCTTACTTTGGCTTGAATTTGTCCTGTCAGTGCTTGCACCTTGTAAAGGAGCATACAGATCATCTTAGCTTGGAACTCCCACCTCTCCTGCTGCCCTGCTTGGCTTCCCACCCTTAAGTCTTCATATATATATTTTTTTCTCTTACAAGCTGAGAGAGCAACCATTGATGGGAAAGCCATATGCATGGCTCCAGATGTCCCAGGCCTACATCCGCTGAGTGGAGGGCAGCTGTTGGCAGAACATGGGAAGCAGGGATGCAGTGATTTGGAAGAAACTGGTGACTCTGGGGGTGAGTATTGAGTGTCCTTGACCCTAATTCCCTCCCACTGGAAGTTGTAGTGGGGAACAAAGAAAGAGGGGCAGAATGGCCTAGGGCAGTGTTAGAGTGAGCCTTGGAAACTTGCTGTATTTTGCTGTGACTTGCTCTGGCTTCAGAGAAAGAAAATATTTGGAGTCCCAGAAGGTAGGATTTCTAGGGGTATTTCTGGTGAAAACGAAAAAAATTTCTGAGGTTCCTTCTTTTAGCAGAGACCTTCCAAAACTTCCAAAAGTTATTATTCTCTTATCAGTTTTTTTCCTTTCTTCTCTCATTTTTAGCTGACAAAAAGTTTATGCAGAAGCCACCTCGATTTTCCTGTCTCCTACCAGATCCACGGGAACTAATTGAAATTAAAAACAAAAAGAAGGTATGTTCATACATATATTCCCCAGTGTTCAGCCTTACCCATCTCTATCTGGATATCCTTTATAGGGTTTTAGTCCCAGAGGTTGAGGATGAGGGAGATCCCAGCTGCTCATTGTACAGCTTCCTAAGGTGGTCTTTGGGTATTTTGGGACTTAAGCAATCTCCTAGCTTCCTTTGAATTCCTTCCCTTACTCCTAAGCCATGTAGTTGAGCAGTGCTATTGTTTGCCTGGGCAAATGCTACTCCAGCCAAATGTTACTGGTAGTGATGACAGGAGTCCTGGGAGCTGGTGTCATGTGGGTCACCAAAGGTTATTGGTCATTTCTAGCTCTGGTGTAACGATTGGCAATAAAAGGAATTGATATTTATTCTGGTGCTTTAGTAAAGTTCAAATAACTGTTTTTGCTTTTGGTTTCTTAACAAAGTAAACCTTTTATTTAACCCTTTCTTTCTCTTATTGCCAGCCTAAGTGACTTCTGCTTGTGTGTGCCCTTGATTATAGGGCTATGACTAGGAACATAGGGAGCAGAGTCATCATCACAGTTAGTCCACCTTGACCTTCAAACCCAGGGCTTTAAGAAATAAGCAACCAAAGAAAGAAGGGAATCTAAGCCAAGCAATAAATAAGATGCTGTCTGTCAATAGATGCCACGAATGGGTATAAAACTAAAGAGAAGCCAGATGTATTGGCACACACCTATAATCCCAGTGATTCAGGAGGCTGAGATGAGTTCAACTTAAAGAGATCTCTGCGACTTAGTGAGACCTTGCCCCAAAATAAAAAATTTAAAAAGGGGGCTCTGAGGACATTGCTCAGTGCCACCTCTACCTCTATCAAGTGCCTGAGTTCAGTCCCCAGTACTACAATAAACAAAACACAAAAAACCCTGAAGAATTCTCTATAGTCTCTTTGCTGCTTTCCCCCTGATTCCCAAAATGGAGGAGGCTGTCCTGTGCATCTTGAGCACTTAGAAAAGGAATGACAAGGAGCTCCTCGTCCACTTTTTTTTGGGGGGGGGGCGGGGGGTACCAGGGATTTAACACAGGGGTGTTACCACTAAGCCACATTTTTAGCCGTTTTTATTTTTGAGACAGGGTCTCACTAAATTGCTTTGGGCCTCACTAAATTTGAGACTGGCCTCAAACTGTGATCCTCCTTCCCCGTCACTGTATTACAGGCGTTAACCACGAAGCTTGGTTCTTAAGACACTTTTTTTTAATATATATTTTTTTAGCTGTAGATGGACACCTTTATTTTTATATGATGCTGATGATTGAACCCAGTGCCTTCCACATGCAAGGCGAGCACTCTACCTCTGAGCCACAACCCCAGCCTTTTTAGCCACTTTTTTTTTTTATCTTATTTATTTTTTTGGTGGGGTTCTTTTTTTTTTTTTTTTTTGTCTTTTTTGGAACTGGGGGTCAAACCCAGGGCTTTGCGAATGTAAGACAGACGCTTTGCCACTGAGCTACATCCCAGCCCCCTTTTTAGCCACTTTTAATGAAACAAGAGGATGGGGTAGGGGAAGAAAATAGGGGAGAAAGGTAGGGCCAGTTTGACCCACTCTTAGTTGTAGTCACAAATAACCATGTCCTAGGAGCCCATTAGATGGCCAGCTATGGGTTGTGGTCTGACCTTGTCTGATTTAAGGGCAGAACAGCTCCTGACATTTGTACTATTTCTCCTCCAGCTGCTAATCACTGGCACAGAGCAGTTCAACCAAAAACCAAAGAAAGGGATCCAGTTTCTTCAGGAGAAAGGTCTCCTCACCATCCCAATAGACAACACAGAGGTAGCCCAGTGGCTCCGAGAGAACCCTCGGCTGGACAAGAAAATGATAGGAGAGTTTGTGAGTGACCGCAAAAACATTGACCTATTGGAGAGTTTTGTGAGGTGAGGAAACTATAAGAAATGTGAAGACCAGGGGTGTAGCTCAGTGGTTGAATACTCACCTAGCGTACCCTGAGTCCTGGGTTCCATCCCAAGCTCCTCAAAAACAGAGAAAGAAAGAAATGAGAAATGTAGTTTGGTGTTCAGTCTTGGGGAATAGGGCATCTCCCTCAAAGCAGTCTTAGTTCCTGCTGGTGACTAGGTCATATACTCTTCCCATTTATATTTGTTGGACCAAAAAGTGACTCTAATGAGATATTTCTGGAAACCCCTTCATTCTGCATGGAGAGCATTACAAAGGGATGGAGCAGGGTTCCAGGGGCACAGGTTTCTAGGCAAGTCTGTTGATGTGACAAATGCTAAAGTTAGAGGTTTTGTTAAGTATGACCTGGATCTGCCCTTTGCCAGATCCCTTAGCTTCCTCTGTTCCAGTAAGAGGAAATTAGGAGTAATGTAGCTAATAAAGAGCCCAATGTGTGCAGTTTCCATATGTCCAGGCTCTTCATTCTGCTTCCTCTCCCTATAGCACCTTCAGTTTTCAAGGTCTGCGACTTGATGAAGCTCTCCGCCTCTATCTAGAAGCTTTCCGTTTGCCTGGGGAGGCACCAGTCATTCATAGGTTGCTAGAAGCATTCACAGAGCATTGGAGGGTGAGTCTTAGTGACAAGGGTTAAGCCCTGGATCCCAGATCAGTTTGCTGGCTTCTCTGGCCCCCAACTAAAAATATCCCAGCTCCTATCTTCTATGAAGGCTGAGAGTAACATCAGTGAGCTTTCCATGGAAAGACCAGTTTCTATTAAGGAGTTGGCAAGAGGTTGGCCACTTTCTGGGTAGTACCAGAACTGACCAGTGGGTTAGTAGTGAAGATTTAATGGTCCAGAGAAGGGAATTGACACAAGCGGGGTCTTTGCTTTTTCAGAATTGTAATGGCTCCCCGTTTGCCAATAGCGATGCCTGCTTTGCCCTGGCCTATTCTGTCATCATGCTTAACACAGACCAGCATAACCACAATGTTCGCAAACAGAATGCACCCATGACCC